TCGCATTTCTGTGACATCGAACACTGAGAACTGTGTACTGCAAAAAATATTGAACTCAAAAGGACCGGATTTTGTTTAAATTGTTCCTACAAGATACACGATTCTATTTTGCACATAAGCATAAAGCTTAAAAAACTGTTTATTGCAAAAATGTGTAAGAAGTTTCTACGACTATTATGGGATCGCATAAAGCACGTGTTCGATGAATATTAACAAGTTTTCCTTCGGAATATGATAAAAAATGTAGGAGAGGCACAGAGCATTCCCAAAGCCATTTTTCGAAAAGAGCGTGCGACCATTTCGAATACAAAATTCCAGAATGCGTAGGCGGCGAATGAAATTATCGGGGACGAGCCGGATTTTTAAAAGGTTGCTTTCTGTCAAAATGGCTGCAATTAAAAGCTCGAGCGTCGATTTTAAATAACAAAAAAAGAACGCTCGTTTGTAACGTGCAGAATAAAAACTGGGTAAACGGGAGACAAAATGCCCTCTAGATTTTAATCTGTGAAATAAAATATTCCCTTGGAAAATTAGCAGTAAACCGGTTCGTAGAAATTCGTCAATGTAAATAGAAAGTTACATAAATATGAACGATCTATGGATATATCTTTGACGATAGAACGGGTGAAAATTCGTAATCGAATGCAATTGGTCAGGTGTATGGGTCGAGCGCGTACAACCACAGGAGAATCTAGTGCAGTCGATAGCGGAACTCGACGGTTCCTGGCCTGTTGTTCGACACCGAACGAGCCGCATGAATTTTTATGAGCTTAGGAAATTAATTTGTGTTTTTCGCTAAGCCTCGGCTTAGCGCCGCGGTAATTAATTGCGCTGATTGCTTTGCATCATTAATAAGCGGTTCGCTGGGTTTCGTAACGTTTACCCCCCACTGGATTGTGGACCTACGCGCGGCCAATACCATCGTTTCTCTTCATCCCCCTTGGTCCTTTTGTCTGCGCGCGCTTCGATCACCCGTGAGCCCATCAGACGGCACAGCCATTTTTGTTGAAATTTCGAACCGGCGCGACGCGGCGCGTTCTGATTTTCAGTCGTCCAGAAAGACAATTGAGAAATTAATTCGTTCGAAGACATGGAATCGCGGATTTATTGACGTTTGAAATGAAAATTTATAATCACGGTTCGAAAAAGTTCCGGAATTTTATCATAAGTAGATAATAATAAATAATAATATAATAATAAATAAGTAGATAATGCGGATTTTTATGTTTCTAATGCAGATTTTGCAAATGTGGAAAAAAGAGTACGATCGGTCACAAAAATATTCAGCGTTTGTCAAATTTGCATTGCGGGTTCGGATGAAAAAGTTGACAGAACGTGATTTTAAAATCTTTCTATCATCCCAACGGTTGCAATTTCTGATAACGATTTAGCCATTGCCTAGTCGATTAGTTCTTATATCATCTAAAAAAGATTCAAGTTGCTTGGTCCAATTCTGAAAAAGCTATTCCGTTTTAGAAAGTGTTCGAATATTTTTGAATATTTTCTGTATACAATAGACATTTTATCTGTCCTTTTTACCTTGCAGATTGCAGAATTCGTATTAAATTTTAACGCTACACCAATGTTTTGTTTCCTCTTTTACGGTTACCGAATATTGTTACGAATATTGGTTAAGACTGTTGGCATCCCTTTTAATAACTAATACTGTACGAAGTTAAAGTAACTACGTAGTTCAAATGTTAAAGCCAAGTTTCTCGACGATTTCAAATATTTTAGCTGTTCGTAAATTGACTACAACATTTATAATTGCATACTAAAATACGATTTAAATTGAACGATTCAATTTTTACGAACGACCAATTAGAACTGCGTAAATAAATAATTATTACAGACTAGATGCCACACAAGTTTCAGCTGCTGTTTCACCTAATAATAAGAATCTTTTCAATGCCCATAAATGAACGACATCGTGTCTACGATATTAAGCAACAGTTAAGTTAAAGTTTTACTGAAAATTTAGTATACGAACAATGTAGTTGTTCGCAGTAGTTGATTACACAGGCTATGTATTCTAATAAATAGACTCCAGATTTTATGGATTTATAACAAAAATGAATCATCGTCGAACAATAGAAAGATTAAGAACATTTAATAATGTCGATATATTACTCTCGACCTACTAAAATTATTAAGAAAAAAATGCAATTGTTAAGTTACTCCTAGTTTTGCAACAGATATAGACTATTGAAATAAAATATTCAAATAATTATTCAAATAAAATATAAATTTTATATTTTATATTTTATAAAAAATAAAATTTATATTTTATTAAAAAAAAAATTTAAAGATATTAAAAGAAAGAT